AGCATTAGCATGTTGATTCCATCAGGGCCAATGGATTTGGAGGATTTTGCTTTGTTGATGACAACCTGACCCTCCTCATCGGTGAGAGTAAATGGCGCGCTGTCGTTTGGCATTTTGCGCAGCCGTCGGTTAACACATCGTTTAGCTTTGTCTACCGGAGGGTGCAGTGTGAACTGCCGGCTAAAATAGCTGGCGCACTTCTTCGGGTCCGAAGAGGCGTGACCATTGAATTGAACTTCAACTCGTCGTGCCTCTTCGGGTTAGACAAAGCTTTGACAGTAGCCCAAAGCTTACTCACACCGGTGGAGAGGCACCAAACGGTTTTCACCACGAAGTGGCGTCTGTGTGGGAGCTATGTTGCCTAGTTGAGCTCCGGGGGACCGTGGAGGTCCTCTGTTGGCCACTCGAGGTGGGTGGCGGCGCAGCGCGCGAACTAGGTGCAGATTGCACAGCCGTAGAGGCTGACGCCGCAATATTGCGTAGGCAACATGGGGCCACGTAACGCGTGATCCACTCCCTATGGGTCTTAAGGCAGGCAGGTCTTAAGATGGCTCCATCCATTGCATGTGTTGCACCTGACCGAGGTGGAGTTTGGATGGAGCCTTTTCGCGCAAACGCAGCAGAAGAATTCCTCCGGGCCCGGGTTGGACTCAATGCCAGCACGAGTCAGGAGGATATGGAGCAACCCTGCTGCAAGGCGTTGCTCCAGTGACGACACACACAAATTAACACTCACCGATCCAAACGGGGTTAGATCGCCGAAATGACAGCCCATGGTCGGATGAAATCCGAGTCAATTCCGGTATGTAGAACCGGCTGTCGTGGGAATTGAGCGCTACTATATGTGACTGGTATAATTACTGCCGCGAAGCCGTAGTATTATACCAGGTTGACCATCAGGTAGCGGTAGGTAAAATTGGTGGCCCTGGTAAAACTGTTCAAATAGATGAAAGCAAGTTCGGAAAGAGAAAATACAACAAAGGTAATAATAAAAATATAATTTTTTTAATGTAATTAATATATTTTTCAGGGCGAAGAGTCGGGGGCCACTGGGTTCTTGGGATGGTTGAGGATGGGAGTGACGACTTTAGGCTTGAGGTATGTCCCGGCAATGTAAGGTCTGCTGAGGTGCTCATACCTTTGATAGAGAAGCACGTAGCAAAAGGCAGTATAATATGTACTGATTGCTGGAAGGCATACGACTGTCACGGGTATGAGCACCGACGGGTTAATCACACCGACCCCGATAATCCGTTCGTCGCCGAGGACGGGACCCACACTCAACGCATCGAGTCCCAGTGGCGCGTAATTAGACCTTTTTTTTATTAAGGACAATTATAATAATAGCGAAGATGTTTCTAATTTAATTTTTGAATATACTTGGRGAAAAAATATTGCAAATAATTATCTTGATCCTTTTGTAAAATTATTAGATGCAATTAAATATATAAGCCTTAAAACTTTTTTTAGTAYAATGGAAAATTTATTTCATATGATACTTGTGTCTTGCGTTTGAGTTTTTATATTCATTTTTATTCGTTTGATAAATGTGTAATTATGGCAACACTTATTGCATGGCAACACACTTGTGCATGAAATTAAAATTGTGTAATATATAAAATGYTTATTTTAAGCAAATAACTAAATAATTACTGTAAAAAAAATATGTAGAAACAATATATTGAAGTGTAAGTGCATAAAAACTGCATAATATGAAATAAATAATTACTAGAAATCGAGAAATTGCAAGATAAAATTTGCAAAATTTTCAACTTTAAATGCAAATATCTCGAAAACTATAAKTTTGCGGCGGCAACAATTATATATTTTCTTAATCTAGAGCATCAGCCCTATCCAAACATATCACTTTTAATTCCGAAGTCGTGGGATGGTAAACTAAAGTTTCCCCGGCTGGGAGCATATGAAAACCCACCAAAAAATGTTGACGAGCTTTGGGAGAGGATACAAGATGAGCTCTTGACCGTGATATCATCCAAAAGTTGGTGGAGAGTATGGCAAAACGTACTGAAAGCTTAATTAGAAATAAAGGCCTTTGGACGAAATATTAAATTGGCAGCGGTAATTAGTTTCAACAAACAAACATCAAACAATGCAAAAGTGTCCGAATTTTTTGTTTTTTTTAATTTTTTTGAAGCAATTTATATGAGTTTTTGTGCTTTATAATTTATAATAATGTTCAATTGAATAAAAAAAAAATACATACACTTGTGCTCACATAATTAAGTCACGCCAGTAACAGAACGAAAGTTTATTCAAAGCAACTTCTATGGTATAGGAATGAAACTTAATTTTACAAAAAATGGAAGAAATTTTAATTCAGTTSAAAACAGAATACTTATTTTTTATTTAACTTCTGAAATAATAAAAWTATTGCGTTCATTCGCTTATCCCATCCATGTTGTTGTGCTCATATAATTAAGTCATCTAAAGAAAAATGTAGTTATTCGAAGTATACATTTTTTTGCAGTTTTACCTTACCTAAGACTAATACTTAGTTGGATAACCTTTATTACTTAGCACGCACCTCAGTACATCGCTTAGGCATTGTTTGGACTAAAGTAGCACATTGAGCGGGACTTATTTTGTACCACTCTGCCTGTATTATTTCCCATAAAGAATATTTGTTGCGAGGTTTTCGTGCAGCTACGGCTCTTTTTATAATCCCCCCTAGGTTTTCTATGGGGTTTAGGTCCGGACTTTGAGCTGGCCAATCCAGAATTTTAATATTTCGACTACGTATCCAAGTTTTAACGACCYGCGAGCAGTGTTTGGGGTCGTTATCGTGCTGGAAAATCCAAGCTAACGGTAAGTTGTCCACATAATGACTGTCTAAATTGTTCTCCAGTATTCCTTTGTACATTTCACCTGTAATTTTCCCGCCTATTTTACCAACCGGGCCAACGCCTGATGACGTGAAGCAACCCCACAAAATCACCGATGAACCGTCATGTTTCACGGTTTTTTTTAATATATTTTTTTTTTTTTTTTGAAACGGCCGTTCAATGAATTTTCTTGTAGAAGTCTTCGTACAGTTTGCGCAGATATTTGTACGCCGTGGTATTCCTCTAATTGAGCCCTAATTTCTMTGGAGGTTAAAAATGGATCAGACTTACTTAGCCTTACTAAGGCCCTATCGTCAGAACGGGTGGTCTTTCTTGGCTTTTTACGCGGTAAATTTTCAAGTCTTATTTTTTTTTATAAAATTGAACATCGTTATTAATTTTGCCTCGAGAAAATCCTAAAATATCTACAACTTAGGCAATATTTTGATATTTTTGAAAACATTCCCATATGATCCTCTTTCGCTTGAAGTTGTGCTTTTATTCTTGCCCATGACGACGTTGACTACAAATTTTATTAAAAATAACTTAATTTAGTAAAAAAGAACAATTGATGTAAATTGTGGCGAAAAAATTTTAATTTACCCGTTTCAAACAGARTGACTTAATTATGTGAGCACACTTTTATTGGCAATAAATGGAAAATTCATTTAAACTCTCCCAAACGAAAAAATGCGCTGTAAATCGGTGGCGTTCCTAGAATAACGGAACTTTTTGCTCGCGCAATATTAKGGAWGTTGCWTAAAGAAATATACCTTGTTTTTTTACATGTTGTAAAAAAGTACTGAATGACTTAATTATATGAGCACAAGTGTATATCTGATAATATGATATATCTATCATATACCTATATTGGTATTATTTTCATTACCTTACTTGCTTAGTGCAAAACATTCTTGGTTTAAGAGCTTAAGTTTTTCTTTAATTTTAGTTCTATTATTTTTTAATTCGATCGTATTATTTCTGATCTGCTTGTTATAAATCTAGCTATAAAATTTCATTCAGTAGTTAAGGTTTTTTAAGAGAAAATGGGATCAGAGTAGACTTAAAAGAACAAAAATTTATGAACTGAATTGGTGTCAATAATACCATAATACCGAATTTCAAAACAGCTGCGATTTAGAATAGCATCCCACGATTTCGGGGTTAAAATGGGTATGTACGGATAGAGGAGCTCCTCCAGATTAAGATATACATATGTATATATAATGGAACTTGTCGCTGACTTATGGTGTTTGAGATACTTCCAATTATATTTCATACAATAAGAGAATGGTTGCAACCAAGYAAAAAACTAGTGTTAACATATTTTGTAATGGAATATAAATAAGGAAAAAGAAAGAGTATAACGTCAATACTAAATTCATTATCGTGTGATGAGTAATGTAACATCTTTCAGAATCCTTCTCATCTTGACAAATCCCGGTGTTGGATCGGCCAAAGCAAAAAGGAGTTCAACGCAAAAGAACTGAGCACTCCCAGGTGTTGGTTATTTTGTTTTTTTTTTTTTCTTTTTGTTTTGAAGCGCGACCAAAGGCCGCCAATGCAGAAAGGAATTCTATTCAAAAATATAATGCTTTATTTATTTCCTGTCATTGGGACATTATTTGTTTTCTTTATTTCCTATGATTTTTCTGTAAAATATGTACGTAAGGTAACACTGATTTTTAGTTAAAATGCAACCCGTTTTTTTATTGTGTGAAAAAATAATAATTGAACAAAAGTTAAATGTTGATAAAAGTTATTTTTGCACTATCTAATATAAAATAAATACTTAGAAAAGAGTGAAGTGTTAGTGGGGCAATATTACGAATCTTTCGGCGCCGCGATTTGATGGTACGGATGGATAGAGGAGGTCCTCAGRATTAAAAAATATCAAAAATCTGTTTCATATGTAGAGATATAAATTATTCAAAACGAAATACTGTTTTATCTATTCATATGGATTATATTACATACCATATTATTTAAAAAATTTAGAAAAATATTATTATACTATATTTAGTAAATRCCAGTTTTATATTGCCCATGCAATAATTATGCGACAAATGCGGAGAGAATATGCGACCAGAAGAAAGTGAAAAATCAAACATAGGATGGATTTGGAGGTGCGATTCAAAGCCAACAAGAACAAAAGGAGCGAAGCATTGTAGGCAGTGCATAAGTCCAGTGGGGTTACTCTATAAGGCATTACGAATAGCAATACGTTGCGAAAGTGAATTGAGTTGCGAAGGGCAATCGGTACTCTGTAACACTTTTTTACATTGTAAACAGTGTTGCACTGCTTTCCCGTTGACATATCTCGTGTAGTTGACATTACTGACCGAAACGAAGGAGAATGAAAACAAAATCAATAACAGAAAAGTGAATTAGTGTAGAAAATTTACAGACAAATATAATTAAATTTGAAGAGTTTTATATATAAAAGTAATTTTAAATCAATAAGAAAGGAGTGAATATGGATTCCGTTGTGTTATGGGAAGAAAACACATAAAATGAACGAGTTGAGCGGAAAATTATTAGAGAAAAGTCCAATGTGATGAGTCTTAGTGAAAAAAAGTAAGTTTAAATGATAAAGTGTAATGCGATTCTTTAAACTTGTTTGWACTTCTACTCGTAAATAGTTTCGTGCAAAATGTCCAAAACACAACTTTTGCAATGTCTTCAGAGGAGAAAAATGCAGCGAAACGGGCTTTTTACTCAGTGTCTGGAATTCCAGGAGTAATTGGAGTGGTGGATGGTACTCACATCCAAATGATACGACCGGCAGTGAATGAGCATTTATATTTCAATAGGAAATTAAAGCATAGTATAAACGCTATGGTGGTAAGGCAATTGTTTTTTTAATTTATCTTTGTTTTTTTATAAATATTGTTTCCAAAACCTAGATATGTGATCATAAGATGATGATAAAGGCCGTTAACGGTCGTTTTGCTGGGGCGTCATGATTCACATGTGTGGAATTTGTGAAGCGAGCGCCAATATTTACAAACCAATTATGTGAATGGAGAAATAGGAATTCGCATTCTTGGTGAGCATATACATATTCGTTAATTTTACTCGTTAGCTATTATATGCATCACTTATTTTGCTAACTTAGGTTTTTTCTTATAACTCCATAAAGAAATGCTGCTGATAAAAACTCTGCTGAAAGTTACTACAACTTACAAATTTTAAAAAGCCAGATCCCTTATCGAACGAGTATTTGGAGTATTAAAAGCGGTTCCGATGCGTTTTAGCTGCTAGGGAACTAGATTATGCCCCAAAAAAAGTGGCGCAAATTTTGAACGTATGTTGTACTCTTCATAATATTTGCACTCTTTTTAATGTGGAATCACCTGCCAATATAGCAATAGAAGTTGGTGAAGTCGATGCTAGTTATACTGAAACAATAGGAAATGCGAATGAAACCAATATTGCTAAACGTTTAAGAGATCAAATAAAAAACAGTATGATTACTTTATAAACTTATAACACTATTTAATAAAGTAAACTTTTTAATTTTTCACATTTTCACATTTATTTGATTAAAATTCACATTAATGACAGAAACCTGTAGTCTCTTGCACATGTATGTATATACATATCTGTATATTTAAGTATTATATATGTAATAAAAAGTAAAAACTTATCACATCAACACAAAATTCGTTTTTAAATCAAAAGAATAAATGAATTAATATAATAAATAAATAATTATCAGTAAGTATTAAAAAATAAGTAACAGACTTGAATGTCAATAACTAAAATGCAACATTTTTATTGGTCGGGCCGTTCATTTTCTAGCATTTGCTTTTCTAGTTCTAATGTTGCAAATTTTAGTTTTTTTCATACATTTTGAAATCACCTTTAGATTTTCATTAATTTCGGACAACACTTTTAATGAACCTTTGTGATAAGCGATTTGGTAATCCAAATCTTATTTAAAATACTCTCTTTCTTTTGCGGAGCGACTCTTTGACGTGAACAACAATGTGGCATTTCATCCACCGGCGTTGATTCATTCTGTCGGAATTTGTCGGTTGCGTTAACTGTGCTGCACCAAATTCTAAGGTGCCGCTTATTCCACTGACGGATATTTTCATTGCCAGAAGCTCACTAACCTGCTCCTCCAACATTGTTAAGGAGCAATGACTTGGAGGACTACCACCAGCACCAGATACTTAGTTTGTTCCGCAGGATTTTTGGGGTTCAAATGTGTTTTATAATCCGACCAAAAATTAAAAATTTACTTAATTATGTGCTTCAAAAATCATTTATAATTAATATTTTTACCTTTTTCCATTTTAACCAACTCTTTCCATAAATTATTTGCAGTATGTCCTTTGGAAAGTTCCGAATGTGTTTTCATAAAATTAATTRAAATTTCGAACTGTGTTGGGTTTGTTTGTTTATTTTTAGAATGTTCCCTGTTAAATACATTTTTTTTTAATTAAAACTACAAATATGCCTTATAAACWTACATTTTTTGTCCGTTGCGCTTGCCAGTTTGATATCGAATGAAAAATTCGTTTAACGCACAGATTTGACAGTCGTCGCAAATTTTGAACGTATGTTCAAATAAATGCACAAAACGCGATTTTCAATGCGCTTGTCGCCTCACAGAGTTGCTTTTTTTTATTAACGAGCGTTTTCACTTGCGCAACGCCTTACAGAGTAACGCCCCAGCTTGAGGAACATTCTTGGATGGGTGTCAGTGTCATATGGCTCAGAAAGAAATTTTAGCAATAACTTACAGTTTTGTGTGCAAAATGAACGTGGCGACTGTGCATGCTCAATTATCTAACTCTCGAAAGCAAAATGAGGAGCCGATATTGAGTTGCAACATTGTTGTGGATTACTACAATTACCTAAGGGAAATTGCTGAGGTTACATGTTCAAGCGCAGAGTTCTGTCTCAGGGGAGAGGACAAAACGGTTCAAATCAATGAAACTTTTTTAACGAAATGAAAATATAACTGAGGACGCGTTACGGGCCAAATGGCAATGACGATAGTGGGACTTTTCTGCAAGGAAGACAAAATCTGCCGCTTTTTCCGCGTAAGCCGGAAAAGCAAGGCAGATTTGTGGCYTTTCATTAAAAAGTTTGTATGTACCGGGATCCGGAATTTGTACTAATGGTGGAAAGCAATACCATGGCTTAAGTAARCTTTTCGGGGACGGTACTGTATGCTTAACCACCAATCATAGTATTGGTGAGTATGTGGAGAAAGGAAACGCAGACAATACCATTAATGACCTCGAATGTCAAAATTGTGCAATTAAAAGTCGCCGAACGCTCTACACGACTATCGCCAAATTTTTTTAGAAAAACAACACAAAGATTACATTGGGTCGCAGATAATGCAACTTATATTGGACATAAAGCAAGTTCATCCTTGGTATGTAGAAGGAAGACTTCAGGAAGGAATGGCATTGAAAGAATTGGAAGTGCCGACGGTAGAGTCCGAGGATTTAACGAATATTGTTCCTCAAACGAAACGGTTGCGTTACGAAACTATAGAAGAAAATATATCTAGTGATGAAGAAAATAACGCAGAAGACATTAACGATCCTGATTTTCATTTTAAGGATTTTATAAATTAAAATTTTATTAGAATTGACAATATATATGTATATATGTTAAATTATCATAATAAATTAAAAAAAAACTTATTATAGAATGCAAAGTTTTTCAGTATTTCTCTCCTTTTGAATAATATAGGTTTTCGATCGATGAGAGTTATTTTTTTGAAGTGCGGCCGAAGGCCGCCAGTGCAGGGGCCCTATTCCGTATCTGGATTCGTAAATGTATTCTATTCGAAATTCGGATCTACTTTATAATTTTTCGAAAGTTGTACCACCCTGTGACAGAATAAATACGTTCAATTTTCGTTTTTGCTTTCTACAACTCAAAAGCTAACGAATATTTTATTCGAAAATTGGCTTAAATATCCGAAAATCGAGTTACGGAATATAAAAAATCGGAATTCGAGTAAATTTTTTTTTCGAATCGAGTTACAGAATAGGCCCCCAGAAAGTAGTTCGACACAAACGAACTATAATCCCCCCGCTGTTGCACCGACCAGGSTTATTTTTTTGAAGTGCGATCAAAATTCAGACATATCTTAAAGATATATATATAACCTTTACCGAAGCCTTCCTTGTTTAATCGGGAAATTTCTTTAAAAAGTTTTAAGAGTTGCAAAACAAAAGTAGGTTATTTTCTGGTTAGATAACCATATCTATTGAGGTTATGATTACTAAAAATCAATTTACAATGTTCGAATAAGTTAAAAGGATATAAGCCTTTGCCAAATACTAAATTCAAGCAATTTATGATTTTGATTTTTAATTCAAGGTATTATCAAAATAATATATATAAGGCATATAAAAACACAACACACTTACCCTACTGTTCACACTTCGCAAAAATTGTGCCATTGTTTTTTTTTTTATCTATCTTTAACAATTCCACCACTGTAAAAATTGAATTTTAATAAGAAAACAGTATATAAAATTATTTACGCAAATAATTAAACCCACAAGTACACCAACGAAGTTCTTGGAACGAACCAAGTGAAAATTTTTAAATATATCAACATCACAGGTACATTACCATGTTAGCTAACGGGGTATCTCGACAGGATAAAATCTATGTCTTACTAACTGTATTGCCGTGKCTATTGCCTGTGGAGACTCCACATTGCTTATTGCTTACAATATATGTAATTCTAATTAGTTTGCTATATATTGTAAGCAATAAGCTGTCACTTCAGCAGTTTGACGGCGCAGTTTTCATTTCTATGAAAATTTCGAGGAAGCAAATTGGGTTGGGAATGACCGAAGTCTTAAATTTAATAAACTTATACAAGCATAAATCAAAATATCTTTGCCCATTTTAAATTTATTATTTTAATTGGTATATTTATGTCACAATCATAATATAGTAGTCCAAAAACATGAATTCTTTTTTTCCCAGAAATACGTTTGTGGAAAAAAGGGTCTTTCTCCTTTGTTATTATCTTATTTTTCCCAGAAATACATTTGTAAAAAGAGGGATCGTAATCCTTTTTTTATTTTCTTCATAAAAGCTACATCAGCTACCTACCCGACGGCATTTTCAAGAGCTCAAAGCATGCGCTACAWCACCTCGAACCTACCTACTCTACGCCATTGCGCAAATGATTATGTCAAGATAACAAATGCCCACATACAGATTTGGCAATGGCAATAGCAATATATTTAGTTAGTAAGACATAAGGCCTAACTATAATGTACAT